ATATATATATATATATATATATATATATATATATATATATATATATATATATATATATATATATATATATGGATTATTTCGTAGATCCTATTATTCCAAATTATATAGAATTAACTACCAAATGGATTACACTTTAAGTAAATCCCCTTAATTTCGAAAATATTTTGACTTATCTCCTGGGCCATCCTGAAGTTCCTATAATAGTCTTCTAAAATCGATTTTAAACCCTGGTCACTCACATTTCGTTCTCTATCTTCTTCTCACAGATTCATCTCATCTCTACAAATCTCCCACCGGCGATTTCCGGAGCCATAACTTTTTCTCCGGTGGTTGGAATTCGATGGTTTAACTACTGCTGGATTCCCCTCGTCGAGCTCTTTCTCTTGGTGGTGATTTCATTTAGTTTTGAATGCTAATTTTTTTCTGCACTTTTTTTTCATTCAACGACGGTGGTCTTGTCGGAGCTTTATTTTGCGTTCCACCCGTCGAAATTTGACGGGCCAGCACCGTTGGATTCCTCTCGTTGGGATCTATATTTTGATGGTAATTTTGTTTATTTTTATGTTTTTAGATTTATTCTAATATTTTTTTGCATTTGTGGGCGCGCGGAACCGTTGGTGGTTATTAGCGGCGTCTAGGGTTTTGGTAGGAGGCGATGGGGGTGAGAATTTACTGTCTGTTTGATTTAAAATATGTAGCATTTTCCAACAATAACCTCTCTCTCTATCTCTCGATCTCTTAGTGTTTGATGATTTTGAGTGTTTTGATGTTTCTTCAAATTTTGTTGATTTGCACTAAAGTAATTTTTTTTTTTTTTTTTGATTTTGCAATTGCTACTTAATGAAGGTCATTTATCCTTTCCTTGAAGGTGGCAATTTTTTTTCTTGAAGTTACATCTGCTTTCTTCAACAGATGTATACATTACTGTACATTACTATACATTACTATAGTAACATGTAGTTACACATGCGTATATTTGAGTATTTTCGATTTGTATTTTATTGGTTCTGAGGTGATCTATAATAAAAATATTGAAATTTGTAAATTTTTGTTGGAGTTTTATGAATTTATTTTGAATAAGCCAGTATTCGTGTGTGTATACAATTGATTGACTAAAAATATGGGGAAGATACAGACGAACATAACTATGAATTACTATAGTTACATGTAGTTATTTTCAGTACAATAAACATATTGTTTTGAAAATTAATAAAGAATTTTTTTTTTTTTAATTTAAAAAAAAATAAAAAAAATAATATATATATTTAAATATACGGGAATATGCTAAAAGTTCCGGAAATGTAATTTTATTAGCAATAAGAAGACGCTCTTTTTTTATTCGAAAAAAAATAGGTCCATCGTGTGTGGGCGCGTCTATGAACAACACATACGCATTCTGTAAAGTGTAAACAATGAGGGATAGTTTGCCTCTAATTTGAAGGCGATTTCAAAAGTTCGCTCAATTTTAGAGATTTGTTGTCCAATTTACAAAAGTTCACTCTTAATTTTCAGACAATTTCCATAAGTTGGTTGCCAATTTACACAATCAATTTTTTAGAAGTTTGCCCTATAAATAATTTTTCGGAAATTTACTTTGAAATATTCGTTATTTTACTGAAATATTCAGTTTTTAGAACTTCAATGTCAATTATCACAACTTAACTACCAAATCTATTTTAAAATTATTGAAATTTCATATACTTATTGTGAGTTTGTGCTTTTCTAAACTCCTATTAAAACTCAAAATCTTGATTATTAATTATTAATAAACTAAAACAATACGATTTTTTTTAAACGAAAAATAGTAACAAAAGAAAACGTAACCCTAGTAGGTAGAACTTACTCCCTCCGTCCCAATTTAAATGACGTTTTGGGTTGTTGCACACATATTAAGAAAACCAATCAATGTGTATAGATTATAGTGAAAAACATAGGAAAATACTAATATATCCTTGACATTAATTATTTTACAACTAACAAATTAGGAGTGTTAAAGGGTAAAATTGAAAATAATGCAATTAATGATGCATTGAAAATCTAAAATGACAAATAATTTGGGACAAAAAAAACTCCGTAAAAAGACATATAATATGGGACAAAAGTTGCTATATTAGGAATATATATCGTAGTTTGAAATAGACACGTAGGTATCTCCGATAAACACTAGGTCTAGCCGAAATGGTCGGAAAGCCAAAAAGAAGTTTGTGACTTATGAGTTATGAGTGGAGTATATGTTTACACGTGCGTACACACTGCATGCACACACAAACTCATTTAACTTTAATTTGCAGAAACTAAGGAGTGAGTGAGTCACATATATATATATATATATATATATATATATATATATATATATAATTTATGTCTATCTATATATAGATTTGAGTGGTTTCACGCATATATGTTATTTGGGATCAAAGGACACGTGTTTCGTTCATTGATCATCTTTTCAAACGCTTTCTTTAACATGTAACAATATTTCTTTTTTGCAGGCAAATATATATATATATATATATATATATATATATATATATATATATATATATATATATATATTATGCAGGCATTTAATTAAGACACTTGTGAGTTGTGACGTATGTAGAATTAACGGCAGCTCGTGATATAGTGGCGAGTCCAGAAATCTGTTTCGGGATGAATTTAAGTTTTCTGAAGTTCGGGAGCAGCGCCCTTAGAAAGAGACTCGGGATATTTTTTGTGCATATATATAAAGTAATGATAAAACCATAAAAGAGGAAACTAATAAAAGAAAATATTTTTCGGGGCTTGAGTCGCGCACCCATCGTTGCACACGAACTCCGAGCTTTTGCTGGATCGGTGGAGAGCACTAATCTTGTGTGATCACATGCATGCGCTCACACTATATTGTATATTACTATTCTAAAATTAGATACCGAAATCTTCGATTTTTCCTCTTCCTCTATCCATATCCCATAAGTACATAATCAACAGAGAAATGATAAATATGCTTAGTGTTGAAGTATAACCCAATGAGATGAACCATCATAGTAAGAAAAATATTTGTTAATAATTAATTAGAAACATTTTATATTTTTTCACTAATCCACGCGCTTCTTCCGATAAGTATGGGATTCGAAGTCTTTTTGTTTTAGTAATTACAACCAACCCCCTCACTTATGTATTTTCTTACAAAAAAACCTCTCATTTAGTAGATAAATTTGATACTATAACACTAAAAGTGTAAGACAATACATTGTTGATGGATGATTATATTGTAATTACCCAAACATAGAAGGATATTTTCGTAATTTGACCTTATCTTAGGGACTGGCCGTAATTTATCCTTCTTTTCATATCTTGCTCCTTAATTGATGCTAATATTGCAAACTCAGAAATAATCATAAGATCCTTTTGTTTAGTCCGATGTTTCCATATAACATTTTTTCAGCATGGAAGACTGAATATTTTAACAATTAAATTAAATATTTTATAAAAAAAAAAACTATATATAGCTAAATTTCATCCAAATTTTGTTCGTCGGCCTTTTCTGTTAGATCATGCGCATTCAATGGAAGCTTAAATAATATGAGCATACAATTATTGGTGGAGACACAAGTTTTGAGTACCTAACCATTAATTAGTACTAGAAAATTATTTTTTTTCATCAAATGTTTCCAAAAATAATTAGTTAATTACCCATAAGAAAATATGCAACGTCCTATGAAGGAAGTTTGACTGGAGATTTCTTGTAAAAACGCTAGCCCTGCTCAATCCAATATTTAATAACTGCTTTTGTTTGACATTGACCAAACTAATCCGTGTGATTTACGAACTATTGCATGAGAACGAGAACAAGATTCATTAAGTGTGCATCCATAGTTGTAGTTTCTTTTGTGATTTTTTTTTTAAATAAAGGGCAAATTACGGGCCCTATGAGTTATGGCCAAATTACGAAAGCCCCTCATGTTTGGGTAATTACAACCACCCCCTCAACAATGTATTATCTCATGAAAATACTCCTCCAGAAGTACATTTAAGAATGTTAAATCAATAAAACTGAACTGAAATTTCGGTACGCCAACATTTACTGAATATACGATTTGTTTGGTAAATAACCGAATTATATAAATTTTATGTAAAAATGTTTAATAGAAGGGGATGACTGTAAGTTGTAACTACCCAAACAAGGGTGATTTTTCGTAATTTAGCCATACCCCAGAGTTGGCCGTAATTTAGCATAAAATAAAATATATATACATGCCCAACTATTAATTTCATTTCATTTCTTGATTTTACTTTTTATATATAGTCTTGTTATTTTTTGACAGTTGTTCACTCATGTACGATGCATGTCTTAAATTTTTTAACTATTACAAGTCATTCAAAACTTATTCTTGCTCTCATTCTTGCGTGCTCTTTAAATTGTTAGTCAATATATATTACAATCGACATTGCATGTTTTCATGTACATATGATCAATATATATATAAACAATACTATTTTTTTTTTTTGTTTTTTCTACTTTATATATGTACCAAATAGTATTATAATATAAAAGTATATGATGATGAAATAAGTATTATTGCAAGTGGACAAAGATTGTGATGGTACGGATGACAATTTACTAAAAGGATACCCAACTTTTTGCTACAGATCATTTCTTAGAGTTTAGTTAGAGAGTTTAGACCAAGTGCTACACATAGAGTTAAGCTATAAAACTTAACGAGAGCCTAGTTACGGAGCATAATTATGTTAAGTGGTTATTTACCATGAAATCCTTACCTATTTGCAATCATCTCTCTCAACAAATTTTGTAGTTAAACAAAGTGAACCAATAAAATACTTAGACCTGATTTTCCAAACGACTATTGTACGTAAATGTGACTATGTGTGTGTGCGTGCGTTACTTTGTTCTATGTGTGTCACTATGTGGGTGTGTGCTCGTTTGTGTAGTAGTGCAAGGAAGAGTTTCGGTGATAACAGCGACAAAGAGCGAAGTAGAATAGAAGACATGCATAAATAACTTTAAGCAAAATGCCCAAATTTCATTGTCCTAAATATTGGTGTCGTAAATAGCAAATTGCCCCTAAAATAATAATACCCCCTCGACTATACTAGTGGTGGTCAACCAAAAACACTCTCCAAACACCACCCCCTCTTTGTCTCTCATTATCTATCATATTAATATACATGTACCTTATATACGTACACACGTACATATATAGATAGATACACACACAAAAAAAAAAAAAAAAACTCTCTTCCTACTTTCTCTCTCTAGCCTCACACAACTAAATGAGCTGGAAGTGGAGGGAGATTCCGTGTGAGGGATTCTAGCTGTAAAATTGTTAAATCCCCAATTTCTTTATCTTTTCTTGCCTGCCCCCTTATCTCTATATATACCCCCTCTCATTTCACTTCATCACCACAATCAAGAAAGCAAAGGAAAAAAAAAAATCCAATCTTTCTTTGAACCCATAAAGAAAAAACAAAAGCTGCTACACACACACCAAAAAGAAGAAAACCCCATCATCATTAAAACAAAAAAAATCAAGAAACATGGGATTCAACATGCCCTTGGTTTTCTTGTTAGCATCATTAGTCATCTCATTCTTTGCCCTAAAATGGATCCTCAAAAAAATCATGTCTTTAGGGCATGTAAAGTTGCCACTGCCACCTGGCACAATGGGTTGGCCTTACATCGGTGAAACCTTCCATCTCTACTCCCAAAACCCAAACACTTTCTTTGCATCCAAAGTCAAGAAGTAAGCTCAATTTCCCACAAACCCTTTTCTTATTTACCAATAAAGATTCAATCTTTATTGTTTTCTTGAACTAAACCAACTTTTTTTTTGCAAATTTTTCCAACAGGTATGGTTCCATATTCAAGACCCATGTATTAGGTTGCCCATGTGTAATGATTTCAAGCCCAGATGCAGCAAAAACAGTACTTGTAACAAGAGCTCACCTCTTCAAGCCTACATTCCCAGCAAGCAAAGAGAGGATGTTAGGCAAGCAGGCAATTTTCTTCCATCAAGGCGATTACCATTCGAAGCTGAGGAAGCTCGTCCTCCGTGCATTCACGCCCGATTCGATCAAGAACATCGTCCCCGATATCGAATCGTTAGCCGTCACCTCCCTACAATCATGGGATGGCAAATTGATCACCACTTTTCAAGAAATGAAAACTGTATGTTCTTGATTTTGATTTCCCTTACCTTAAAACAGAGCAAAAAACAGAGGATCCCCTGTTTTATTACTTTTCTTAACTAATCAGCTTCGAATTATGATTTCTTGCAGTATGCATTCAATGTGGCATTGCTGTCAATACTTGGGAAAGATGAGGTTTTGTACAGGGAGGATCTCAAGAGATGCTACTACGATCTCGAGAAGGGGTACAATTCGATGCCGATTAATCTACCGGGAACACTCTTCCATAAGGCAATGAGAGCTAGAAAGCAGCTCTCGAAGATCTTGGCAAAAATCTTGTCACTTAGAAGAGAGATGAAGCAGAGCCACAATGATCTTTTGGGATCATTCATGCAAGATTCCGAAGGACTAACCGACGAACAAATCGCGGATAATATTATCGGAGTTATTTTCGCGGCCCGCGATACAACGGCTAGTATACTCACTTGGATTCTCAAGTTCCTTGCTGAGAATCCAACTGTTCTTCAAGCTGTCACTGTAAGAATCTAATCTAACCCCACAAAATAAAATAAATAAAGATTTGGACTTTTTCTTTTTCTTTTTTGTGATCATAGTTTCTTGAATTTTTTGACTTAAAAAAAAAATATGTTCTTGGTGAATTTTTACAGGAGGAGCAAGAGGAAGTAATGAAGGGTAAAGAAGAGTGTGGTGAGGAGAAATCATTGACTTGGGGAGATACCAAAAAGATGCCGTTGACCAAAAGGGTTATTCAAGAAACACTCAGAGTTGCTTCCATCTTATCTTTTACTTTCAGAGAAGCTGTTCAAGATGTTGAATTCAATGGTATGTTATTTAATTTAGCAGATTATTTGTTTTATTTATTTTCAAGAATATTTTACTGAATTTATTTTGTTTTCTTGATTGATTTTTTTTAACAGGATATCTAATTCCAAAGGGATGGAAAGTGATGCCACTCTTCAGAAACATTCACCACAGCCCAGAAAACTTCCCAGAGCCAGAAAAATTTGACCCTTCAAGATTTGAGGTAAAATTACTATTATACCCCCACAAGTCCCATTCATATAATCTCCATGCTATAAATTATTTTTCCATGATCTGAGGAGAGAGACTAAAGAGTGTATCCTCTAAAATGTGACAGGTGTCACCTAAGCCCAATACATTCATGCCATTTGGCAATGGGGTCCACTCCTGCCCAGGCAATGAGTTAGCCAAGCTTGAGATCATGGTTCTATTACACCATCTAACCACAAAGTACAGGTAAATAAAAAAACAGACAAATAATCATAAACCTCAATCAATTTCACAAATAATACAATTTTTATTTATTTATTTATTTAATTATTTGTTCTAAAAATAGTAATGGCAAAATTCTGATTAGGGTTTTGTTCCAATGTTTTGCAGGTGGTCTATGATGGCCCCACAGAATGGAATACAGTATGGACCATTTCCTCTTCCCCAGAATGGTTTGCCAATTAAGCTCTCCCTCAAGAAATAACAAATAATTTATTATTAATTAAAAGTTATATATTAAAAAAGAAAAGAAAAATGGCAATTTTCTTGATCAAAGAATGATGAAGAAAATAATATAAAACAAGAGGTTGAGGAGGCGGCCCCACCAAAAAAACCAGAAGATTTCTGGTGTGAGGGAAACAGCAAGAGGAAGCCAACTGTACATAGAGACAAATTCATTTTTCTACTAGGATATGAGAAGTTCAAGATCAATTAGGTTGATTGTAATACTAATTATGTTATTAGGGAAATATATATTTTTTTATTTTTTTTTTATTTTTTTCTCTTCATTATTATGTTTTTTTAACATGTAAAAAGTCCGCAAGGCGATTTAATGGAAGTAGCATTGGTTAATAATTGTTATGTTAAGGTTATCTACTCCGTTCTGCAAATTTCAGTCAACCCCGACATAAGGTTAAATTACAAAAAAGAAATTTATTTGGGTAATTACAAATATCCCCGTTAATTATGTATTTTCTTAAAAAAAAAAAAAAAAAAAACCCTTCAATCAGTAGGTATATTGACTAGGTCAATCGATTGTTGACCCGTAACCAAAATCGATAAGTACTAGTCAATTATGGGTCGGGTTTTTACCCGACCCGCGGAATGGCAATAAAAGATCCTAATCTTGTTCTCTCTCCTCTCTCACACACACCAATGCGCGTGGTTTGTGTAAACATCACAAAAGCAATTTAATTGCAGATCCACAATTTCTACATCATAATTGAATATCTTGGTCAGAAAAATTAGCTGTGATTTGGGACCATTATATGCTATTTTATGACATTTAGCACACCTGTCCCATATATATGTAATATGCCTTCATTCCTAGTCGACTCACTATTCTCAGCATTTATTTCTTTCTGTTGCTCTCCGTACAGTTAAATAAATGCTGAAATCACATCTTACCTATGTAGTACGGACACGGCGAAACGGATACGGGTAAATCCCAGTTTTCAAAAAGTTGGATACGACAACATGGGGAAATGTGTAAATATTAAAAATATAAGGGTACATCTATAATATCTCAAAAATATTATGACGTTTAACTTATATACTTATCGTCAATTTAGAAATTATAAATAATTTACAAGTTCCAAACTGAATTATCATTCTAAGGCCTTGTTTGATAGTGCTTAATAACCTCTTAACAAAACCCAATTCTTATTCGGTCAAATCTCTCGATATTCAGTGCATTTGGTATGATAATCTGAATGGCTCCAATTGCCTCTTACCGATTCAGTTCAAAAAGTTGAACTTATTCGGTCAGAGCTTCCTACTTAACAAAATTGAGACAAATCTCTCCTTTTATGAATTGGATATTCCAACTATCTTCTTGCAATTTGTTGAATTATATATTAATTTATTATATATAGTGGGGCTTTTAACTAATTTTAAAATTCTCACTACATAGTGTGGAGTAAGGTAGTTTTTCTTATCTTGTAGTGTCATATAAGCTAAAATATTATTAAGTTTGATTATTCACTTATTTGTATATGTTTTGGATGTGAGAATGTAATTTCCCCCTATAATTATTTATAGTGAATTGAAATTTTTATTTTTCTTTCCTATGGTTCAATTTTCTGAAATAATAATAGTGTCATAGGAGTATGTCAAATACATAGAACAAGAATCACCTAAGCCGCAATTTTTTTAACTAAAAGTATATTATTTAACAATTAAAAGGTCATAGTAATTTTTTTTTTTATTTAGACATTATATTATTGATAATTAATTAGTAGATAAAGTCATTTGTTATAGCAATTCCAAGGGCTAGTATAGTAAAATTATATTATTCAGATGTAAAAATAATTTCAGTTATCAAACAAACTTAAACATTCAGCATTCTGTATTGAGATATTGGTCTTAATCATTAAGATATGTATTCAGCATTCAGTGTCCAGCGCTTAATTCTACCAAACATAGCCTAAGTGTCTTATGGTAGCATCTACAATTCGGAAAATGACTTTGTATTTTTTTAATACTTAATTAAGCTAATTACAACAGAACCTCAATAAATTAATAATCCCGCTTAAATAATAGCTTCTTTCAGTTCCAACTCAGTACAAACGTATTGAATCATTAGCTCGATTATTTAATATTTCGCTAAATTAATAGAATTTTGCTGGTCCCGGTTGTATTAATTTATAGAGGTTTAACTGTAATTGGGGAAGTAATCACGAATTGACTATAATAAAATATAACCAATTAAACAATGCATAATTCCAGAATCCATCACCTGCTAAAACTCCAACATAAGACTGATCAAAGAACATAAATAAATAGATACAAGCTGGCCACTAGATGGTTCAATGACTTTGTACAATAGATTCAATCATCCTAAAGTACAGATTAATATTAAACTAAGTACGGGATCAGACAAAACGGACATGTCAAAACGCTGGCACACAAACGATTAAACAATGGCTTAACACAAAAAGGTCAATCGCCGTAAGTCTAACTAACGTGATAAACATTTGTGTAAAACATACGACAAAGCAAAAAGTTCAGAGTACAAATCAGCTAAACACGCTTTCGTAATTGTCCCCAATAATGTTTGTCAGTCCTTGTACATGTCAGCTAGATTCATGCCCTAGTTGCGTAGTTCTGATTGTTAAACTAATCTATCAGAAAGAATACGCACATTTTCACCAACTCATCAGCTACTTGATGATAATATTAAGTGGAATTATATATTGCGTGATAATAAGTCTTAAATATCTAAAGAATTTGCTCCTTAGATGCTCCAGGTGTTGTGTGTACACGTATCGTTTTCTCAGCCATGTAATGTACAATGTTATTATAAACGAGGGAGACATAGAACATAGAATAATAACATATGATTGAGCTGACCATAAACTCATCATGTAGTATTATATACAAAGGACAATCACAGCATATGAAGGGTCTACTTACAGTTTATTCGTCCAGTCGAAATCCACAGCCCATTCTACACACACACACACACACCCATGTGTGTGTGTGTGTGTTTTGTGTGTGAATACGGCAAGTGCAGCATCCTCGGGAATCAAGATCCGTATCTAATGACAGATTCGTATCTAATAACAAGAGGCATTGACTTTATTGCAGATGTAAAAAGAATTCACAAGTAGGTATCAACTTGGCAAATCGTGACTGCGTTCAACTAGATTCTGCTTTTCTTAGGACTCTGATTCGGTCAAATAATTTTGCAGTCTAACAAAGTCGTATCTCATAACGCACTTTTGATGCCAACTGTGCTTTCTATTTTGTCAACTGCTATTTTATAGTTCTACGAAGGTCGTATCTCATAACGCACTTTTGATGCCAACTGTGCTTTCTACTTTGTCAACTGCTATTTTATAGTTCTACGAAGGTCGTATCTCATAACGCACTTTTGATGCCAACTAAGCTTTCTATTTCGTCAACTTCTATTTTATATTTCTATCAAGGTCGTAATACATAACACACTTTTGATGCCAACTAAGCTTTCTATTTTGTCAACTTCTATTTTATAGTTCTATCAAGGTCGTATTCAACAACGCACTTTTGATGCCAACTAAGCTTTCTATTTCGTCAACTTCTATTTTATAGTTCTATCAAGGTCGTATTTGATGACGCACTTTTGAAGCCAACTAAGCTTTCTACTTTGTCAACTGCTATTTTATAGTGGTATATTAAAGGTCGTATCTCATAACGCACTTTTGATGCCAACTAAGCTTTCTACTTTTGTCAACTGCTAGTAACAAATTAATAAGTTCCGCAACCATGAAAAAGTCAACCATATGTATATGTACACGTAGTACCTTTTTGAGCCGTTCAAAAAGCATGAGATGTTATTGAACCTGCATTGACTGTGACGCTGTTGGAGAGATTTAAATAGGAAGGAAATAGAAGCCAATGCAAAAAAGATCATAATACAAAGTAACTGTAAAAGCTTCAAAAGAATGTGCAAAAGATGAATACATACCCCTAATATTCACTACCAAATTGGGCATAATAAAGGCCTAGATATATAATCATTGGTCTGAAGCTTCAATCTCAGTAGAATATAGTACAATCTTCAAGTTGGTCGAATTCACAGACTGGTGTCACAGTTCATATTCTCGTCCTTAACTGTGGGAATTGAAATCAAGAAACTGTTTAGCAGGCCCCGTCTGAAAAAAAACGAGTCTAATGTAGCAAGAAAATATATTAACAAAAATTCTAACCTCTTGCACAAATTTTTCGACTCCAGAAAAGTCTTGCTTTTCTTTCTTGAGGAGTTCAAGACGTGCTTTCAGTTTGCGCTTTTGTTCTTCTGCCTAATTATAGATATTTATTGGAGATACAGAAATGATGGGTGAAAAAGTTTTCACTATGAATTATGGACATAGAAAAATGCAAAACAAACGACAACAAGAGGCAGATGTGTGGTGAAAAATAATGCTTCGCCGAATCACGAGGGTGCCACATAAGGCAGAAGTTAATCAATTCAGCAGAAGGATATGGAAATTGAGTCCACACACGTAACAATTCAAATTTTGGGTGAAAAATCTAAAAAGAAAAACAAAATCAATTACCTTCTGCAATGAGGATTTTTTCTATATTTTCTACTTTCAGTTAACTCAATAGAAATTTAAAAATACTATCGTGCCACCAGTGATATTTTCCAACATTAGCTAAGGGAAACAAATTAATGTGTTGATCGACTTTAGTGAACTAATGATAATCAATATTCTTCGCAACGCCAACTTTGTTGTCCCTCTACATTTCCAGGAATCAGCAGCTCCATAATCCACAAAATTATTGCAATTTACAACAGGCAATAAATCCTAGAACAAAGAATTTGGATAATTATCGCAATGATTTGGAATCGAACCATCTTCTCAATATAAATCGTGGAGCATCATAACTAAAGCTTCATCCAGGACCAATCAAACATGTAAAATCAGTTTCAGCGAGAAGTATAAAAAATGTGAGCAGTGGAGTGGGCCCACCTTTTCCAAGAGCCCCGTCAGATGGTTGACCTCATTTTTCTTCATGTCCGACAAGTTTTGAGCCGTTTCTTCTAAATTACTCCTGCAGTTTTGTAGTCATTCTTAATAGCGTCAGAATAAAAAAAATGGAATTAGAAAGTTTAACATGGTAGGACATACACTTCTATTCCGATTCTGGCATACAAGAGAACTTTGAAGAAAGTGTAGAGGAATAACTAGCTTATAATTGCCATCTAAATTTCTAATTGTAAGCAGGCGTACTTCTTTGTAAGTAGTGGATCCAGATTATGTTCTTCGACTAACTCCTCTATATGGTCAAGAACTGGTCCTGCCTGCAGAAAGACAAAGCTTACGTGACATCCCAACACAATCTTAAAGCTATAAATTGTTAAAACAAAATTTTGGGAATTACCTGTGTCTCGACAAATATTGATTCAAATTCTTCCTGAAATATTTGAGAAAACCTAGAATTATTATTGCCCATTACAAATCTAAAATTATTAAATGATAGATCTGTTACAGATGAACATGCATACAATAGTTCATATCAATGGATTAAATACGTCACGCAATAGTTCCATGGACATATGCTTGTATAGCACACAAGAGTATTTACTGAACATGCATCAAAAGATAAAAACAAGGTTTCGAAGGTAGTAACTAAGAAACCATGCATCAAATGTTGGATTCCAACTGAAAAGCTTCATAAAATAGTTTCAATAACGTACCTCAATATCTTCATGCAGAGAAGAGATGACCTGAAATATGTAGAAGAATAATTGAGAGACAGTTAAAAGGTTCGTGAAGTAGGACACACACATAGATCTTTAGGACTAGTACACAACGAAATTGAAACAAATTTTGACAACATTAACTAGTAACCGTGCAGTAAAATGCATATGCAGTTGTGTTTGTAGATTACTTCTGCTTTCTCTTCGTATTAACCATACTATTCTACTATGAAAAGAAAAAACCTTAGCTATATGCTGCCGTTTGTGTTTTGTTCATTAATTCTGCGAAGTTTTCAGACACTCGACTTCCATATGGATAGTAGAGATTGAACCCGTACCATTTTTATGTGTATTCAAGGAGATAATATTTTACAACTAACTCGATAGTAACCGAAAATATATTCATAATTGTTCCTTTCAAATCCCCAATTCCTTCCGACACTACGAAAAACACAAACCAAATACGCCCCCAATGTGATGTGTTTCCAATCAATTTCTTAGGGCTTTTAAGGTAAACGTCACTGTCGATTACTACGCAGTAAGCACACGATTATATCACTGTTTATAACCGAGTGAGTAATTAATTTTTTTTTTTTAAATATATAGGAAAATCACCCACTCAACTCACACTTTCAACACTATAAAACTGCTAAATTTCAACTTGCAGTCACTATATAACACCGGATCGAACTGATTTCAGAAGCAGAGTAACACACAGAAACAAACATCAAATAATTAACCTGAATAAAGAGTCGGTGGAGGCCATCCTGCTCAGCTGCAGTACAGATCGGAAAAGCTTTACGGAATTCCTTCACAAATCGAAAATTAAATAATTTATGGCATCTATCGAAGAAAATTTGACGAGCGTAAACTGAGATTTGATTCGTCGTATTACAAATTGTGAGAAATTCAAATGACAAGGAAAACCCTTACCTCGTCGGAGCAGGCGGTTAGCAAGGAACGCAAGCCGCGGTTGAACGATTTCTTCAAATTCAGTTGCCTCGACCCAGGAATGGATGCAGTATTTTCCATTTTATTTTCTCTCTCTAGGAAATTGAAGATGGAATTGTAGTGTGGTAATGGTGTAAAAATGCAGAAAGTTTGAGAAGAAGAAAGAGAAGAGGCGGGAGAATAAAATTTTAGAGAACAAATATTAAATTGGATTGGACCTCCACACTTTACTTTTAATTGTTGTGGGCTCAACTAAAACTTATTAATATTTGAGTAAATTACCCACATCGTCAAATTACGAAAAAACCCATCATGTTTGGGTAATTACAATCACACCACCGTCTACGAATCTTCCTATACGTCTACCCTCATGGTGTTAAGTTCAACATAATCGTCTTAATTCCATAGAATGCTCTTTAGTTTGTACTCGTTTTGTGCGACAAAATACAATTTATGATGTACAGCAGTTTAATCTTTACAGGCCAATAGACATCTTGTTTCAAAATGTGGAGCTCGAATCAGGTAAAATGGATACAAACTGGAGAATATTCCACATAATCTAGAAGATTCAACTAAATTTGAACATGCAAGAATGGATATTTAAGTAGATTCATAGTTGAGGTGTGTAGTTGTAATTACCCAAACTTAAAGGATTTTTTTGTGATTTAACCTTACTTCAAGGGGTGCCCGTAATTTTCCCCAAACATTAATATGAATTACTTTTATATAAACTTATGTAGTATAAATGAATGTACAATATGTTGGTTTCGAAAACTATATATACATCATGAGATTATCTGTTTCCTTCTTCGAAAAAAAAAATCGGAAAAAAAAGACCATCTGTGTCCGCGCCAAATTTTCTCTCTCTTCAACGGCATTATGTCGCATATGACCGATAAGGTTTTCACCTGCAAATGTTATAACATGCATTAAGAAGCAAGTTTATAAAACAATCCAGCAATATATAAGATTCAATTTTATCTTTCATATCATATGTAACCAATATCTGCAAGAACTAAGAACATCTTCTGCAACTGGAATGATTTTGTTTTCTTGATGTATATATATGCATTATATTGTACATATATATACGTATATATATAGTTGAAGTTAGCTCACATTGCATGGGACGAGTAGAATAAGAAAGATTTTTGCTATCACGAAATAAGAATTTGTTGTTGAAGAATCCATTCTTCGTAATTTTGCAGAAGCTGCTGTACGAGCAAAGGTACCAGCTTGTCCACTAGGGTTTGCATCATTCTGGATACCGCACAAAAAAATAAATTAATTTCTCGGATAATTAGGTTATGAGATAATTTAGCTTTTAAGTACTTACATATTTCCTGGACCCTCAACTGCTAATACGGGCAGTAACGCAAACGGCTGTGTGTAAATCTGCATAAGAACAAATTATTCGAAATGTGATGGAAAAAGGAAAAAAAAAAGACGATTTACGAGTCACAGAAAAGAACATAAGCTGGATGACAACCTCAAGAACGAGATTCAACTTCACGTCAACATTCAAGAATTGTTCGGTATCGATAGTCTCCCATGTTATATGATTCTTCATCGAAGCTGCAAAAATTAATAAAATAGTGGAGGTTAATAATCCAAATCAAAAGCTCCAACTATCGCTGTGATTCTGCGTGGAGTGTAATCATTTTATAGCACCGAAGCTGTCGAAATTGATTTATGTAATGTAGAGGAAAGTTTGTGTCTTTAGTCGCCCTAACAGGAATTTATACACAAATAGATGACCAATATAACTTCTTGATAAACGACGAATGTAGATTATGTTTTCGAATGCAATAGGTCGTTCAACTTCAGACAAATGTAAAGAAACGTCCAAGTCAAATGCACCTGAAAAGTGCTCGTTCTGGCGCTCCACCACTTCAGAACCCTCAAACTGCAACAACGAGAGTTTTACATAGTTTTGAGGATTAGCAATCGAGTTAAAGATAATACAGAACACCGAAGAAGCCTGTTAATAACATTAAAATAAAAAAAAATAAAAAAAAATAGTAAAAGAGGTACGTGCTAGGTTTCACTTCGGGCATTATCAGGCCATAAAAATTGTTTTGATGAATGTTCGTTGACCAGTTGACCAAAAAACAAGACGGAACAAAAATACTTGGATATATAATGTTCATTGTATAGGCAGTACAAGAATCCCGCCTAGCAACCCATGTTAAGACAAATTATCCGACGCATTAATCCATTGTTAGTTTTCAGTGATGTCTGATTAGTACAAGCTTACCTTGCATGATAACATCTCAACTAGACAGTCTTCACTACTTGGAGTTACTTGTAAGTCCAACACCGGCGCAACCCTAAAGTTAAGAAGTTGAAGCTGTGGCAGAACGCACCTGCATACACGTAAACCAAAAGAAGTAAAGTGCCCGATTGTCGAGTATTTACGTAAAAAATATTACGAAATACTTTAAATTTAATATTCCCTCGAGAAGGTACTAGTGAGACACTAGTGTTTTTTTTTTTTATGTCCCGTGTCGTATATTCACTATACTACGCACCGGTATACTTAATGAACCATTGAACAACACGATCGAGTCACACCATGCTTTTTACTAACTTCACTTGTCGATTTTCACTAGTCTAAAAAGCTCACATTAACTAGTATCAGTACGAAAAATAAGTGACATACTGTGTTAGCCGACGTTGTAAACAAACGCTAAATTTATCTGTAAGAAGAAGTCTGAACGATTCGACACAATAATTCAATTGGACTCTCGTTTGGCGAATACTCTAAAATGCAATAGGTCCGACTGCGCATTCAAAGTTCCTCCATGACTTAAAGAGTAGCAGAATGGCACTCGAAAACCAATTTTCTCCTTCCCCATTCAGTAATTTTATCGAACACTACATGGGCAACAATATTTCATTAAAATTGAGAGAGAGTATTCTACCTGTACAAATTGGAATCAAGGGATTGGCAACTTTGCAAGGCCCTCGTGTTCAGCAACGCTTCAATTCCAGACGGATGGCTGAAAAACTCACTGATACTGTAACTGCCACTTCCGCCATTAACGCCGTCGCTGCAATTAGGTATCTTGATCCTCTCCTTCTTTCCGGCGGATAGATTAGCTCTCTTCGCACCAGACTCCGACAGCTTTTCCTTCTTTACACTCACTTTCACGCATCCATTTCTCTTCCTTCAAATAAAAAAGAATTCAATCTTTACCGGAGCTGTTGAACTAGAATGTACTAATGCAAGAAAAATAAAAGTACCTTGTTCTCGAGTTAAACACTTCTCGGGGAAGATGCGATTGAAATGGCGAGTATTTAGCTGCTGCCGCCATTGATGAGGGGGATTCAGTATTTATTTTACATACATCTTGGTGATATGGGTTTCTTCTTTCACATTGGATCCATGGCTTTTTCGACATCACCCATTTAAGGTGGTGTTTGCAAATGATTATTTAAAAGCAGAAGTTAGTGATTGTGATTTAAGTCAGTTTTAAGTGCTTATTTCTAAAAGTTGGGGGTGTTTGCAAATATTTCGGAAAATGAACTAAAATTGAAAAAGCAGGGTTAGGGGTGCTTTTAAAAAAATAGCTTAAAGCAGATTATTTTAAGAGAAGCAAAAGCAAAAGTTGATTTTGCAAACACCTAAAAACAGATTATGAGCAAAAAAAACCGCATAATCACTTTCAAAAAGCATTTGCAAACACCACCTAAGTGTGGCTCATCTTCATACAGTTTTTAATTTATTCATTTTTTTTTCTTTCTTTTTCTTTTTTTTTTTTTTTTTTTTTTGGCATCAATCTTAATGTTGAATATGACGTCTACGAAAATCTTCTCTATTTTTTCATTTTATTTTATTTTTCCATTAATATACTTCTATAATTAACGAGAAAATAGAAATGGATTTTGAGATAAAAATAAGGCAGCGACTATTTGCAAGACGAAAATTACTTAGGGCAAGACCAAATTAATTTTTTTTATTAAATTCAGTATAAAAAGACTATTATATCCTTAATAAAATACAAACAAAATAAAAATTATTTTATTAATTTCCTTTTGCAAGACCAATTTAAAAAAGAAAAATTAATAAAAAAAGAAAGAAAAAATAAATTGAGTCGAGAATTGAAAAACGAGGAGGGAAGAAGGGAAGAAGAAAACAAAAAAAATTCAATTGCAGCACTCAACCCCGCCTTCGCCGTCGCCCCGTCGCCGTTGAAGTCCACCACCTCCCCGTCGCCGTTGAAGTCCCCACCTGCAACTGTTGTTGCCCCAACCCCGCCACAACAATCTCACGAAAAGCAAGTAAGGAAATTACTTTTTGAATTAACTTTTTTTTGAGAAATAAAATGTGATAAACATGATTTTATTGTTAGAATAATGAATTCAAGTCATTTTAGAACATAGTTGATGATTCTAGCGTTCGATTCTAGCACTATTGTTGAAGGAGTTACGGTTTTACAAAAAACGACCTGTACTTGTCGATTTTTTGGAAATATTTCGACATACTGGTGACGATTTTTTGAAAAATCGACACACCAGTGTCGAAATATGTGCTTAATATCGACACCACAATGTCGAAAATTTCAATATAATTCGACAATTAAAGGGTGTCGAATTATGTTGAAATTTTCGACATTCTGGTGTCGATATTAAGCGCATATTTCGACCTGTACACGTCGAATTTTTTGTGCGTGAAATGAGCTACGAAAAACGAGAAAAACGATCACAAAGTACAATATTTCTTACCTCTTTGTGTTCTTCGACCTTAGAATCCTCCATATTTATGTCTTGTGTATCCATAATGTCCTTCTTTTCAAGTTTTAGTAAGATTTGAGGGTTTTGTGTGATAAGGGTTTTGGAGAATATGGAAGAGTTTTTTGTGGAAAAAAATGTGTAAAATGAGGGTGAAGAAAAAGATGTTGGTGTTTTGTTGGGGGAGTGAGTTCCCTCTCATTTTTCCTTTTTTTTTATTCTTTTCTTTTGTATTTTTTTTTGGTCTTGCAATAGCAATTAGCTTAATTTAAATTAATAATATCTAAATTCTAAATTATTATTGGGGTTATATTTGTAATTTTCAGTCTTGATCTTAGTAAATTTATTTATATTTTGGTCTTGCATGAAGTAAGGTCTTGCACTTAGTAATTTTCGTCTTGCAAATATTCGTTGCCTAAAAATAAAGCTAAATTATGGTCACCTCCTTAAGATAACGTCAAATTACGAAAAAATCCCTCATGTTTGGATAATTACAATCACACCCTCAACTATAAATCTTCTTACACTCCCATCATTGCCGTGTCAAATGTAGTGGAATCTTCTAGATTATATATAATATTCTTCAGTTCGTACTCGTTTTACCCCACTCGAGCTCCATATTTTGAAACAAGAAGATGATCATAAGATGTGTGGGTCTCTTGGCTTATTAATATTGTATTTGTGGTGCATCAGATACTGTATTTTTTTACACAAAACGAGTACAAACTAGACACTATCCACAATAAAAGATTATGTTGAATTTGCATAAGGTAGACATGTAAGAATATTCATATTTGAGGAACATGTAATTATTCAAACAATAAATGTTTTTTTTTTTAATTTGACCTTACTTCAGGGCGGCCATAATTTTCCCAGAAATTATCTTACTTCTAGAACAAATGACATTTCAAAAATTGTCAAACAATTGTGTATTAGTCACATTAAAACACAAGATGAAACACAAAAAATCAGCCTCAAATTTTCTCAATTACCCTAAGTTTAGCACTTCGACTCCTCGGATTCAATCTCTCCTCAGATTCCGACGGTGTCACGGGCCTCTTTGTCAGTACAACCGCATTCGACCCTTGCACCATTTGCTTTATCCAAATTTCTTTCTCCTTGTACGAATCGAATTTCGTAGAATTACTCAAACGCCCCTCGCCGCCTTCACCATCACCGCAGTTTACAATGTCCAAAAACGTCTGCTTCACAATTCTATCTTCCAAGCTATGGAATGATATAACAGCTAATCTCCCACCAGAAGAGAGAGAATCAAAACTAGAATGGATCGAATCTTTCAATGTGTTCAGTTCGTCATTCACAGCTATTCGAAGACCTTGAAAAACCCGTGTGGCAGTCTTGATCCAACCTTGCCTCCCTCCTGTTAAAAATTTACACGTGTCGACTTTTAAAATTATATTTCAATTTAGAAATTCTATTGAAAATGGAAAGGAGAAGGGACCCACCTCTTGTCCAAGAAGTTGACCTCCGAATAAGGTCAACTAGTTCGCGCGTAGAATGCAATCCACCGGTTAAACGGGCATTGACAATTTTCTTTTGGAGAGAAAACCAATTGCTTTCTTCACCGTAATCTCGTAAAATTCTCCCCACTTCGGTATCTGGCCAAAAATTTAGAATGTCCTCTGCCTTCAAATTGGCCTGTCAATTAGCCTGCTTCGATCAGTTGAGCTATACGAACTACAAACATTCTCCCCTTTAAAAAATAGAGGAGAATCCGGAAGAAAAAAAAATGACGCTAATTTTTGCAAAACATCCTGGAATAATTTTCATTTATGATATACCTGGGGATTCATCCGCATATCGAGAGGTCCGTCACAGAGAACACTAAACCCTCTTTCAGCATTGTTTACCTGCAAACGACGAGTAAGAAAAAGACACTTGGCATATTGATTTGTTATCTTAGCACAAAATATAGCTTGTAGTGTATACCTGCATGGATGACATACCCAAATCCATTAAAATTCCGTGAACTCCAGTATTCAATATATCCTCATCAATTTCACGAAGCACGTCTTGAATATTCTTGAAGTTCTTCAAGTGCGTATGTACTCGTAATTTTTTTGTAGAGTGGTCGGAGTCTATTTGCAAGGTATTGTTTATTTGAGCTTGAGCTATTTGATGGGCAACAGGATCAACATCGAGCCCGACGTAAAATTCCATTTCTGGATGGGCTTTAATCATCTGCATTTGCAGCAAAGGAAGCTTTAAACGTAGCCATTATACATGTTGCAGCATCAATTAGTTCTAGAAACTTCTATTCGATTCTAGTTTTCTCGGTTATAATCCATAACCTACACGGTGATATCACTATTTTTAAAGTGACTATAGTGCAATTAGAACATCTTAAAAAAGAATATTTGAGGAAATACGGGCTCTTTCTTACCTAATTGCACCGTTATAATACATCAAATTTTATTATCAACGATCAATTTTACATTCCCAGAAATACCAGCTCCTTCATACCTACGGGTGGAAATTGGACGGATCGGATCTGAATTAGCCCTTTCGCAAAAATTCCAATTTATTTCGAAAGTGCAAAACTAATTCCAATTCCGTTCCAAAAAAATCCGGAAATTGTTGGATCGGAATTGGTGCAATTCGGCCAATTTTGTGGTCATCTGTAATATAAAATGCATAATAAATATGGATATTATAAGTGTAATTTTCGGAAAAAAAATATTATCGGAATCTAACATGTATTCCAATTCCATTCCAAAATAAATTGGAAAATTTTGGAAATCGGGAACTTGTGGAATGAAATGTTGTTCCAAAATCGGAAATTTTCGGATCGAAATCGGCAGAATCAGGAATTTATGTTTCAATCTTCATCCCTATTCATCATCCCAAACTGCACCATTACACAACATATACACAGCTCGTTCGAGTTTTCCTTATCAAACCTAACTCAAACACAACTTTAAAAGCTCGACAAAAATTCAAACGAAGCTTGAACAAACATGCATTTGGCTCCAGTGATATTCGTTTACACCTCCTATATGCACACATTAAGTAACCAATGTCATGAAAAATGCCCAAAAATTTCTTCATTTTTCTATGCCCTAATAATTTCAATTCCCAATCACCTCAACAACAATTGCAAAAAACAAAATAAAAAACGAAATAAAAAACAACCAAATTAAAAAAAAAAAATGAAATAATTAACCAACCGCAACGGAGTGGCCGGCGGCGCCCAGAGTACAATCGACGAACGATTTGAGAGAAATCGAAGCGAATACGTCGAGAACTTCGCCGAGCATGACGGGTACATGGGCAGAATTGTCATTTCCGTAAAGCTTCGAGAAGTCATCCTCGTCGATCTCTCTCTCCGACCGCGTTCGCCTCTTCAACAACTGATCTGCTTTCTGCTTCTGCTTTTTAGTCGGCTCGCTTCTGCTTCTGCTTTTGCTTGTGATACTACCGTATGTTGCTTTGGTTATGGTGGAGGCGGAGGAGAATCGAAGAGGGGAGATAGTCGGCGGCGGTGCCGATGGGGAATGGAAGAGCAGCTTCTTGATAAGTGATTTTGCAGAAGCTGTTGCTGCTGGCATCGCCATTGGATGTGTGTGGGTCGAGAAAATTAGTAATTGGGATTTGTCAATTTTATCTATACTAAGGTCAAAATTGGAATTTCAAAGTTTTATTGATTTCAATTTGAATATTTTTTCTTCCAAAATTTTTACAATGTTTGGTTCGGTTTTCATTTCAATTTTATCATATTTCCGGAACGAGTTCGTGTTTGTTAAGATTTCCGAAGAAAAAAAAAATTGACTGCTACAGTAAAAATTGTCTTTCTCCTCAAAAAAAGGGTAAATTACGGCCACCCTGAGGAAAAATTAAATTACGAAAGAATTCCTCATGTTTGGATAATTACAACCGCCCCCCTTTAACTAGAATCTTCTTACATGTCTACTTTTGCGGTGTTTAATTTAGTATAATCTTTTAGATTGTGTGAAATATTATTCTTCAATTTGTACTCGTTTTATCTCATTCAGCTCCAAATTTTGAAATAAGATGATTATAAGATGTATTTCTTGGCTTATAAATATCAAATTGTGGTGCATTAAAAACTGCATTTTGCACAAAACAAGTACAAACTAGAGAACAGTCCACGGAATCTAAACGATTATATTGAATTTGACACGATAAGGGTGAACGTGTAACATAATTCATAGTCAATGGATGGATGTAATTACCCAAACATCAGGGGTTTTTTTTCTTCGTAATTTGACTTTACCTCAAGGGATGGCCCGTAATTTACCCAACAAACAAATATCACTTAATTTTCAACAATTTTGATATGCATCTCATTTTTGTGAACTCTTCTCTGTTTCTATTTTATCATGACTAAATATGATCAAGCTTAATTAAGAATATAAATGAATCAAGTCGAGTCGAACGTATAATTATTGAAATTTATTTAAATATTTATTGAGTTTTCAATTTGATCTCCGCTAACCCAACTGCCAGCCCACTATTTTTATAGCTCAAAGGCCCATTCAAATCAGCAAGCCCATCAATTTAGCCCATCCGAATATATACTCATACAAAATCCAATATACAAATACAAACAAATAAATAAATAAATAAAAATAAAATAAATTCACAGATATTAAATGTTGGCTTAATTCCACTTTGCACCCTTGAAATATACCATTTTGGCACTTTGCACCCTCGAAACATAATAATAGCACATTGCACCCTCAAAACACAATAAATCATTCACAATGCACCCTCAATTGAATAATAAAGGCAATTTTATTTTTCATTGGTGTTTTTGTTTTTGGGGTACAAAATAAAAAAAAAATTGTTGTTTTCTTGAACCTCAAACCTAATTTCGAGCGGACAAAGTGCGAAAAAATAAAAGTTACACCGGATTATTTTAAAAAAACTACATTATCTTACAAAAGAAAAATAAAAAAAATAATCTTTTATCACTAAATTATTCGATTGTGGATCTTTTATGTCACTGTTTGTAAAATATTAGGTGAAAATATTTGGAAGAAAAAATAATTTTCAGATAACTTGATAACGCCATAGCTGAATGATTTTTTTTTCGTAAAATATTTTATTTTGATAAAACAATATAATTTTTAAATATGTTGATGGAATGTATTTTTATTTTTGAACTTTATAGTTTCAAAATGATTGATGAATAAAAAAAAATATTTGACATTTGGCATCCTAAAAAAATATCACTACAAATATTAAATTTATATTTTTTATCTTTAAAAAATCATTTGGGGTGCATTATGCATGATTTATTGTATTTCGAGGGTGCAAAGTGCTATTAATTTATTTTGAGGGTGCAAAGTGCCAAAATAGTATATTTCAAGGGTGCAAAGTGGAATTAAGCCTTAAATGTTACATACATACACAGATACAACTTATCCCAAAGATTCATCATCTTCCCACCAATTTCCACGTCACTTCTGAGTTCTGAGTCCTGATCTACTTTTCTCTGATCTATTTTTCATTTTTTCCCATTTTCCCCAACTTCCGACCTAAATCCACCAGAGCGCGGTGGCTGATGGAGCCAGCACCGCCGCAATCGTCCGAGCAACGAAACAACCACGCCTCATCCTCCTCTTCCTCGTCGCCGGGAATGCAATCTTCTCACGAATCAGTAAATAGGACGCCGGCGGGAGCGGGACCCATGGGAAAGCATCGAATGGTTGCTGCAATTTCTTTCCTCAATCAGCAAATCCAATTAATCCAGGTGAATTATCTTTTCAGCTTCTCTGGTATATTTTCTCCCCAATTTTATTATGATTAAATTTATTATTTTTTTCTTGCGCAGGATGAGCTAGACGAGCTTGATTCTACCGGTGGAGTCTCTACTATTTGCCAAGAGTAAGCCCCCATTTTTTTAATTTTTGTAATTTTCTTTAAGAACTATACAATGGATGAATTTGGTGTGTTTAGTTTAAGGTGTTTAACTGCATAGCTTAAGATAATTTGTTGCTTTGGAGGAAAAAAAAATTGTTTCTATTTATTCGTCACTTTAGATTTTGATTGATACAATGATAACACTTTTCTCGATTTTGCCCGATAGCGCTCTTAATTGATTCAGGTGAAAATTGAAATAACGAATCAGAAACGATGTTTTAGTCGATTGTTATGCCTTTTTTTTCGTAGTCCATGCAGTTATAATACGTGTCGAACAACTCAAAACGATAAATATACGGCAAAATGGTATATATAGTAATTGTTTACTAGCTATAAATAAGCAAATCAATTTCTTGATCAGTTTTCGGTTTTTTTTTTTTTTTGGCCTACTAAGTTTGATGTTCGATATAAAAGAAATATTCACCAAAATATTAATTTTGATGGGATAAACCACTGAGGTTAAAAAAAAGAAAAACGAGTCAAGAGTCGAGACTACTCGAACCATGGTTAGTGAATCAGTGATGCACGCAACTGATTGTTCGTTTCAGTTTTTGTTGGAGGTTGCAATTCACACTTTCACTATACGAACAAGAGGAGAAGTTTTTGAGTGATCAGAAAATCAAGACTGATTTTTAAGAATGTCGAAGACCGTTTAGATATTCTATTCCAAATTTTATGTAGCATTTCTTGTATTGCGTATAACATGTTCATAATGTTTCATTGAAATTCAAATAATAACTTTGTGTATATATTTAAGAAAACTAAGAAATTAGAGTTCGATGTCACTTACTTTACTGTCTACTTCTCCCTGAAACAGGTTCGTATCGAACATAGACTCTGTTCCAGATGCTCTACTTCCAGTGTAAGAATTTCTATTAGCGCAAATATGAACAGAAAAAAAAATCCACTCTTTTCAATTACCCCATTAAAAAAATGTAAATATAAATATATATATATATATATATATATATATATATATATTAATATTTATATACATATTTTTTGTGCAGGAGCATAGGGCCGGCGGATGTAGGGTGGGATAGGTGGTTCCAAGGAGCACAGAGCTCACGAAACCGAAGGAGATGGATATGAACGCTTTAATCTTTCAACTGGTAATGAGTATGATAAAGAAATTGAGTATTAATTATTATTTATACCTTAAACACGAGGATTTTGTAGACGCCACCTTATATTTTTTTTAATGGAAGTCTTTTGGATTTATTCGTGTCTTATTACACTGAATTAAAGGTTACAACCGTAGCTGTATATTTCACGATCGTCGTTATACTAGTAATTACTCTCGTTGTTATGTGGTGACGCTTTATCGATCTTAATCGAGTACACGAGCAAAGATGAAGAACTGCATATTTTAAGTTGATGTATATTGAGAAAGACTTGTATTTACTGCATATTTAAGATGAAGTTGACATTCAAATGTAAACATTTATTGGAGGAATTTTATAAGATAATGCTTTCTTGTTTCCTTTTGTTAATGTTCAAAGTATACATTGGAAGCCTCTTATTTTTTTCTGCACAAATCACTCATACCTAGTCATGAATTTTGCACACACACACACACACACACACACATATATATATACATTGAAAATTATATTATGAAATAAATGAAAGATATGTAGAAAATTCCCATCTCATGTTTCTGTGACGGAGGGTACCCCATTGTTGACTCTTTCCCTTTTGTTTAATTAATGTCATATTGCATTTGCTTATCAAAAAAAAAAATATGTAGAAAATTAAGCCCAAGGAAAAAAAATTGCAATAAATTGATGTGGATTGAAGTCTGAAGAGGTCGGCTAATGGAACCCGAAAGCAACATGAGATGTGACGGCGAATTGCAATTTTTCCACACTGAATGGAAATGACGATACGGGAAAACGACATCTTCGAAAAATGGGAATACGGGAGTTCGGGAGAAACATGTAAATATTAAAAGTATTGGGTTAGATTTATAAATATGCTATATAAATCTATATAAGTTTTTATTTATATACAATTTTTTATATATATGCATTCAAAATAAATTTTACTATCAACTGTCAGTCTGTCATTTTGAAATTGATCATTAAACCATATGTAAACAATTAGGAAAACAACAAAAATACATGTTTCTAATTTTTTAGTAATTGTAAAATGGCCCATAAGATGTGGACAGACCAAGACAATCAAAATTAAGATTAATATAATCTTCTTACGTGTTAATTGGTGCTGCCTTTAATTTTTATTCCAGTCAAACATATATTGGAATTTACATTATGAATATATAAACATTATATTGGGCAAAAACATGGAATCCGTAAACATTAATAATTTATAAGCATTTTATAAAATTAAAAAAAAAAACACTAAATTGATAAACACTTTACACAATAATATATATATATTATATATATAGTTGCCATAGTTGAAACTTGAAGTTGCATTGTCCAAGCTAATTTAGTTAGGTATATAGGTAACATAAATCAAAGTATATAATGTTCACTTGATCAAACCATCTAATAATACATCCACTTGTACAATATAATTAAACAAAATTAAATAATTAAATAAAATTAGGCAAGGCTAACTCTTCTAGTAATAATAGTCATAGCAAAATAAAAGTTGACTACCATCTTAATATATATATACTAGTTCTACACTTTATTAATTTGCTCAAACATAATATCTTGCAACTACAAGCCAAGTCAAATAAAAAAAAAGATATGGATTCAGCTGCCCGAGGCGGCGGCGCTGGTGGTTCTAACTCTAAAGACGGTGAGGACATCCTCGAGTCTGGTGGTTACCGCCAGGACAACCACCACGACTCGAGCATTCACCACCAGTATTTCTCTAGCACGGCCGTTAAAAGTACGTTGATATTCATGGTGGTGGGCGTTACGTGCCTTGTTTTGATCAATCAATCCGGATATCCTACGCAGTTATTTAGGTCTTATTCATTTTCGGGGCCTAAGGAATTTAATAATAATACTTCAGGAAATATATCTTCGCCGTCTTGCGATAATCGTGCTGCCGTCGTAAATGTTTCTTCTCCGGTGAGCTATATATATATACTATATTAATTTATTCTAAATTTTTTTATTCATTGTACGTAATAATATTTATGATTAATTAATAAGCATGATTAGATAATGAATTAGGTTTTAGAGGTGGATTTTTTTGGTTTAGTTTAAATATTTGAGGATATTTATCGTTCAATTTGGTTGGTGTTGAAATAAATCAAAATATTGAAATAGATAACATTTAATATGTGGAGTACAAGCTACCTATATCTAATTAATAATGCAAATATTCAAAATCCTGTGCCTTGACTATATATATTAATTAAAAATATATTTTAATTGAATAAGAAAAAGTATATTCTAGAATGCTTGATTATGCGTTCCGAATAAATTAAAACAATCTTCCATTTTCAAATAATTCCTTCTTGATTTTTCATTTTCAATTACCCCACGTGTCTCCATCGATGTTGAATTGTCACTAGTCGTTAAGTCCAGATAGTGTATATTTACCCAGCATACCTACATAGTTGGCTGAGGGTTCCTTAAAAAAAAAAAAAAAAAAAAAAAAAAACCGATGTTGAATTTTTATACTGCACAAAATTTAATTAATCATATATGGTAACTCCAAATATTTCAAGTGTTTGATTTTTCTTTCAATTTTGTAATATTTTTTTTTTGGATAAATAATAAAATTAAAATAGGCAAATGAGGAGAATGAATTGGAGAAAACACTAAAATCAGCAGCAATGAAGGACAACAAAACAGTGATAATCACAACCCTAAATGCAGCATGGACAGAGCCGAATTCGATATTCGATTTGTTTTTAGAGAGCTTTAAAATCGGAAACGGAACTCAAGATCTATTGAAGCACGTATTGGTTGTCGCGTTGGACCAAAAGGCGTACTCTCGTTGTTTGGAAGTGCAACTTCACTGTTACGCCCTCACCACCGAAGGCATCGACTTTTCAGGGGAAGCGCATTTCATGAGCGAGGATTATTTGAAGATGATGTGGCGTAGGATCGATTTTCTTCACACCGTTCTTCAGTTGGGATACGATTTCGTTTTCACGGTACTCTCGATTTTTCTATGCCCTTCCCTTTTTTTTTTTTTTTAATTGCGATTGTTACTATTATACTTGACTAACTACATTTCGAATCGTGAAATTTAAAACGACTTATATATTAGCGACGATATGGAGGGATTAATTATATTATGCACCAAATTCTAACAAATTTAGTATACTACTTTAACTTAATAATTAGTTAGTGAGTAGGAAGATGATATAATATATAATCGGAAACGATCAAGACTTACGTATAAAAGGATTGATTATACCAAGGGCGAAACCACGTGGGGCCTGGGAGGGGTAGCTCCCGCCCCTACAGGAAAAAAAATTATCACCTATTTTATATTATGTTTTATTGCATTTTGGTATTTATCTATTAATTTAAAGACTTTGCCCCTCGAAATTTAAAATTTGTATACTTTTAACCCATAATTTTTTTTTCCTTCTCTTTATTCACCCCATACTTTGGTCCCCCAACTAAAAGCCATTGGATCCGCCCTGGATTATATTAATAATATATGGTCTTCAATCTTCATATATTTTGAAATTTGAAGATATATATAGTTATCGCTCTATAATATAATTCTTTATATCCGTATATTTCGGGGTCAATTATATAATTGTGTAAATTACAAACTCCCCTGATGTAAGGTCTATTTAGGAAACCCCCCCCCCCCCCCCCATTTTTCCATAATTACATCCACTCCATGTAATGTGTAAATTTCTTACATTAAACACCCTTTTAAGGGGATTAGATGTACAAAATTTACAAACTGCAGGGAGATGGATGTAATTTCTTAAAGCGAAAGATTTTTTGTAATTACGTTTTATCCCCAGATATTTTATTTAAATTTGACACATACATATATATTTAGGATGCTGACGTAATGTGGCTAAGGAATCCATTCGAAAGATTCCATCCGGACGGCGACTTCCAAATCGCGTGCGACCACTACTGGTTCAACTACACCGACGTGAACAACTCACCGAACGGCGGGTTCAACTACGTGAAGTCGAACAATCGGACCATCCAATTCTACAAATTCTGGCACACGGGTCGAGAGTATTTCCCCGGGAAGCACGACCAGGACGTGCTGAATGCCATAAAAATGAACCCGTTTATTAAACGGATCGGGTTGGAGATGCGGTTCTTGGATACGGCCGAGTTCGGCGGGTTCTGCGAACCGAGCAAAGATCTGGACCGGGTCGTCACAATGCATGCGAATTGCTGCATTGGGATGGAGAACAAGATCCATGATATTAAAATGGTGATTGATGATTGGAAGAGGTATAATATCTCGATTCCTATTGGTGGAGAGAGGAATGTCAGTACTAGGTTTTGGACTGTTCCTCGGTTTTGTGGCTGAATAAAATAATAATTAATAAAAAAAAAATATTGATTATTTATTTGAATGATTAGTTAATTAGGTGGTAATAATGTTGATTTTAAGCTAAATTGTGCACACATTTAGTAGTAATAAATTCAATATTTCGGTTTCCTTTTGGGTTGGAATTAGAGATTGTATATTATATAGGATTTTTTTGAGCAAATATGGGATGCGGCAAATGTTGTTTCGGTGCTAATAATATTGTTTCAACTTCAACGTAATTTTTGACACTTTTTAAGGTTTAATTCGGCAAAACTTAAAACACAAATCTTGTACTTATTTGAGTTAGTTTTCTAATACAACTTTAATTATCAAGATTGGATGTCGATTGAGAAAGATATGCATGAATCAGTGAAAATTGCATTGGAAAACAAATTCATAGGACTACAGTTTCGCACTTATAGGTGTATTATTCGGAAATGAAGTATTATATAATATATATTATTTATAGTTTGTATTTTTCGGAAATTTTCGGAATTTACAATTTCAGAATTAAATCGGATCGGAAATCGGAAACTCCAAATTTATTTTATATAATTCCAATTCCAATCCAAAAAAAATCGGAAAAATTCTGAAATCAGAATTTCGAAAGTTGGAATGAAAAAAGTTGTTCCAAAATCAAAACTTTTCGAACCGGAACTGACGGAAATTGGAAATTCCGTTGCAACTTGCACCCCTACATGGGAGTATACATTTGCCTACCCCTTTAGAGATGTTAGGTATACTATTTGGGGTGCGAATCGATATTAAGGACTTGCCATTGGGGACGGACGAGAAGGTGCTCAAGTTGAGGAGATGGGGTTCCATGTTACGCATAACGCAGATGATTGGGCCTCCGACGGCGTTATGTTGGTGGAGTCGGTCCTGGATGATGTGAGTCCGCAGTTTCCATACGTGCATCTCCACGATAAGCAGCGACCACTAGATTGGGTCCCTAATGGCATTATGGAAATAAGGACGACATTGCGCCTTTAACCCCTTCCGGTGTTCTTTCTATCGGAAAACTAAAAAAATAAAAAGAAATTGCAAGTTTTATGTGAAATTTTACATTGTGGTGAAGTGATCATAACCACTATACTAATTGTTTTTTTTATTTTATTTTTTATTATGTGATGATAAATTTAACTCTTTATTTGGTCACTTGATTATTATTTATGCTAAATTTTGGAAAATTAAAAATTATAATAACTTCTAATATATAATACAAAAAACACATATATAGATTGTTAGGATAGTAGACTAAAAGTCTCGCTTTTAACTTCGTAGTTTTATTATTGAATTAATAAAATAGTTTATTATCATTTTATGAGAATCTGCACTAGGGTATTCAATGCATTTAATTGATTGTTTGTCAATTAATTAAAAGCATAAGTCTAATATTCTAATATTATTCGAAATGGTGTGCTACGGCGCACAGAAAGATCATTTTGAAAGTTCGTTTAGAATATAAAGATAAACGTTCACAATCTAGATGGGAATGGACTAACCATTGGTAAAAGATTGTAGCACAATATTTAAGTGATTGGTCTTGTTCACAGTAAACAACGAATAACTTTTGTAGTTATTGTTTTGACTTATTGTGCTAGCACACCCGGCATGTGTTGAACCGGACAAAGTGAAATAATTGTTTTATCACTGTTCAAAATGAAACTGTATTATTTCTAGTTGACAGTAAATTACTTACTCTCTTAATCCCTAGATAATTAACAACGTACATATTTAATTGATGATCTCTACTTTGATGTCACAATGGGAGAGATTCCTATATTGAGTCAAATGGCCCCGGTGCGTTGGGTAGAGACATTAAGAATTAATAGGTGGAAATTAATTATCGAATGGAATCCACATCTCTGAAATATGAGATTGATAATAACCCTTGAGTAACTTATAAGATTTGTTTATGCCAAGTCCTGGCCAGGTGGATTTCGTATCCGGCATACTCAAATAAGTTAAGCGGGCAAGACTCTTGAAAAGAAACCATTTAATTTATTTAGCAGTGAATAAATTATTTGGTGGTTATAATATATCTTAATGTGGGGAGAATCTAAGTAATGATCGACCGGAGCTCGAATGTAATATTTGAGAATATAAACGGGAGTTCAATAATTATTTGGTAGTGGAAAATAAATAATTATTTAATGATTAATTAAATGAATTCTTTTAAGAGTTTGGATTTAATTAATTATTAGTTGCCCGATTTATATTTTCTCCTTTAGTCCCTATTGTAGCCCAATGGATTTTCTAATTAATCGAGAAAATAAAGTTCAACTAATATTATATATTGGAATTAATATAGCCGAAAATTAAGTCCCATTTGGATTATAATTTTCGACTATATAGAGTTATAGAAGGAGTGGGATTTGTTTCCATGTAATCCTCTCTACTCTAATTCCTTGTGCTATATATAATAGAAATTAGGTTGGTGAGAGGATAATTAATTGCTACACGCCTACTACACGTTGGAAGAAAAGAAAATTTTCTATTCTTCTTTTCTCTCTAAATTTCTCGATTATAGATTTAGATTTCTTCAAGTACAAGTCCAACCTTGTAGAAGAATTATTAATCCGGGATATACAATAGAAGATTATAGGTTTTTTAGAGCAAACATTTATTCCCGAATTTTCTGAGCAGTCCTGCGAAGAAAATCACCATAAATCAACGGCGCCGAAGATAGAAACGGATCTGCTCGCGAAAACTGTAAGTTGCTAGATTAGATTTATTCCGCTTTAAACGAATCTAATCAAAGCATGTTAATAAAATTAAAATCGGCTAATCTAGAACCTCTTGCGAATTTTCATTGAATCATGGGCTTTACATCCCAACATAGATAACCTTGAGATTTAATTTAATTTAAATTATTAACGAAAATGAAGTTATAGTAAGATTTATTTGATGTTATACTGAATGATTATTAACCATTAATTTTCTCGGCATCAACATTTAATAATTACTAAAAGATATGGAAGAGAAAAATAACAATGCAAACCCTTGGCATCCACTAATTAATAGGGGGAGTTAGTGTAGATAACGAAGGAATTAAATCATTCCTAATCCCAGATTAATTAACAATTTCCTTAATTAAACACACACTAATCTTTCAATTATATCTAATTCCCACTCCCTGCTTTCACCTTCACTCAAACCCCATCCAAATCCAATAAATTCAAATTACAGATTTACAATTCAAACCATCAGCAATCAATTCATGGATTCAGATTGTGGAAGAAAAAGCAAGCAATTGTCGCCGGAGTTGGGCGGCGGCGGCGGCGGCGATTACCACTACCACCACCTGAGGCATTTGTTCTTCCTGAAAGTGGTGGTGCTGAGCGCTATGGTCACGCTGACGTCATTTATGCTTTATCAAGCTTCTGAGAGCCCTTTCCAGATTCTGCGACGATCGATTTACTCTTCCTTCTCCTTTTCTTCTCATGCATACCATTCCGTCTGCAATTCATCTTCTGTAAGTTTCCGTCGCTAATTTTCATACGCTCTTTAATTTCGTCGCTAATTGTTATTCAATGGTGTATGAACAAGTGATATTGGTCAAGCGGATCCGACTTTCACACATATTTCACACACTCAAACGTGCGTGTATATATATGTGTATGTGTGTGTGTGTGTTTTTTTAATTTTTTTTAGTGTAAAGTGTAAACTGGGTAATAGTGTGTGTATAACAATGTAGAGTTTATTGCATTTTCTACCCCTGATTTTTATTGAATTGCTAAAAAGACCCCTCGTGATATAAATTGTAGCAAAAAGCCCCCACATAGTACATTTTTTAGGCACGCAATCCCTTAAAAGTGAGTTCTTTGGGGTAGTTTGCCGAATCAAATTGAATTATAGGCGATTTTTTGTTAATTAGAAAATGAGTTAAATGCAAAAACCCCCCCTGTGTAATTTCTAAAGGCCAAAAAACCCCCTGGGAAAAAATAAGTCACCAAAACCCCCCTAACAAGTGTTCAATCAAGCACAATCGACCCTTTTTGATTTTTGTCCGTTGACCGCCCGCGAAAAGACAAAAAAACCCTCCAGATAAATATGTCCAGCCTCTAGAATTTTATGACTGAAATGAAATTTTCAAAATTTTCAATTCAGTCCCTAAGACATTCAATTTAGCCCTCTTCCCCAATTTGAAAAAAAAATTACAGCAACGCACGATAAGCGTTTTAATTTCTCAGCTCACACACGCCTCACCCACTCAACTCTCACTCAGCGGCGGCTGCAGCGGCAGCAGAACGATTTTGAGAGGATTTTGCGGCGGGCTTTGCTATTCGTCGGAGAAGTGGTGGAGCTCGCCGGACCTCGAATTGGCGGCGACTTTGGAGAAGATCTAAACTCAAGACGGCGGCGGTCGCTGGGCAACGTCGGAGAAGAAGATGGCTATGTCGGAAAAGAAGATGGGTGAAGAAGATGGCGTGAATTTGACGGAGGAAGAAAATCCAATTTTTTTTCTTCTTTTTTTTTTTTGTTTCGTTATTTTTTAATTTATATATATATATATATATATATATATATATATATATATATATATATATATATATATATATATATATATATATTAATGGAATAAGAAAAGGGAGATTTAGAGGGGCACTTGTGACTTTTCACACAAAAAATCGCACAAGCAGTCGCACTGTTAGCGCGTGAATGACACGAACGAGATAGAGGGGGGTTTATGACTTTGACTAATAATCACAGGGGGTTATTACACAATTAATTTCCCCCGGGGGTTTTTTTGGTCTTTAGGAAAATCACGGGGGTTGTTTTTGCATTT